GAAGCTGCTCTGACCCTACGCACCAAATATTCTATTAGGGTTATATTAAGGTTATATTGGGGTTTATATTGGGGTTGTATTAGGGTTATATTGGGGTTTATATTGGGGTTATATTGGGGTTTATATTGGGGTTGTATTAGGGTTATATTGGGGTTTATATTGGGGTTATATTAGGATACTTTGATATCTTGGTAGGTTGCGCGTTATCCCGATCTGCAGTGCATCAGCCAGAGTCCGGACACGCGTTGGCTTAGAACCCGAATATCCCTGAAACCTGAGACCTGAAACCAATGGCGAATTCCTGGACCACGGGCCTTGGGTCTCATGGGGAAGCCAGGGCCCTGGAACCCGGGCCCCATGTCCCAAAACACTCACCCTGAACTTGTAAACCTAGACCAAGAGCTCCTCGCACGAAAGCCTATCAAACGTAACCCTCCAAGCCCCGAAACCCCAAACTCCGCAACCTTACTCTTGCTTAGTTGGAAAGAGGATGGAAGAGGGAATGGGCTACGGGGCGGAGACGCTACAAGGGAACACAAAGATTCCATATAGACTGCTAAAGGGATCCATCACTGCATTCCCACTGAAGCATGAGTCCCTGGATCAAGTCCCGCGCTGCAAGTCCCAGGACCGCGGTGTGCACGGCAGGAATCCTGCCAACAGTGCCCCTGTGGGTTCTCCTACACTACTGCCTTAGAAATGGGGCCTATGGGGCTCCATGTTACTTGGGGAGGCTTCCCTGAGCACAGCGGCCACTTTATCCCTCCTGCTTCAGCTAGAATCATCTTAGCCCAAAAGAGCACCATGGAAGCCTGCATTCGAGGCAGAAGAATCTTCCCATCTCATGGCCCTGGGCTCGTCCTACCCTGTCCCAATAGGCTGCCTAGTAAACCCTAGACCCTACATCATAAAGCTATATAGATACCTTTCGGACTACGTGGTCCTATCCCTACACTACTTTCTTTAAGCCGTGCAACCCTCAACCTCAGACACTCTAGACCCCACACCCTGGACTCCAAATCCCCACACACTCAACCACTAATCTCGAAAGCCTTCACAACTCAAAGGCTGTCCCCAGAGTAGAAGAGCAGGCCCACAGGACCAGCATGCCCAGGATGACACTCGCAAGAATTGCCTTGCTGCTGATCAACAATGGACAACAGAATGGGCTTTTAGGGATCATTAGAGGGGGACTAGAAGGACTACTCTTGGAATCCATTCCTCCGTTCCCTCCGAACCCTCAGCAAGTTGACTCATGGCTAGGTCCTTCTCCACCTACGGACGAAAACCTAAACCCTTCTGCTCAGGATCCAGAGATTCAAGGAGGGCGAGAAGAAACTTTTACAAGACGAGCAGGAACACTAATTTACAGCAATAGCAACAGCAATAGAACTAGCAAGGGGTACTAGAGAATCTGGGATTCCACAGAGGTATAAGATGGTATAAAGGCATGGTAGGGGTAACAGGAGGTTTAGAGCTGAAGGATTGTATGATAGCTGAGGCATAATATGTTTCTCCGAGCCACACAGTCTGCTAGACAGCGTGGCAAGAATTCGTACTTATTGTCATGGATGGTGGCCATAAAAAACATCGCGCTTTTTCCAAAGGGTACCCACACAGCCGCTGGGCACATTCGGAGATTAACGGAGAGTTGTAGAGGTCCCTTGAAACAATACTAGCCCAAAGTTACATTTTTTTCTGAATCCTGAGTGGTGCAACGTGGTGCAAGAGTTCCTCCATCCACCGTAGCATCCATGGAAGTGTCCCTATGACTTCCCGCAGTCCTTGAGATTCCACGAGCTATCCCGGCTTAAACTAACATCTCGAATCTGGATGGCGCCTCGTCTGTCTTCATAGCCCCCATCCTCAGCCATATCGAAAAGTGAGATCGATGTAGGGCTTAAGTTTGGGGGTTCAGAATCAACACCGTAGCCCGTCTTGTTTACTTCCCTACAACATCTGGCTCCTCATGTTTCGAAAAACCTCAAAACAGATCATCATCTCGACTACTCCGCCAAATGGGCATGCCCTCTGCCGGGGCTGGGGCTGTTGTAATTTCCGCTGCGCCTCTTTGGGCGCATCGGGAGTCTGCTTGACCTGATGCTGATACGAGCTCCTGAGCTCTACTGGGCTTGCTCGAAACTATGTGTCCCTCTTAGGGGTCCCTGACAGGAGGATCCAAAATTTCACCCCAGGGACCCTCTTTTGAAGAAATATCCAACTTGCTGCAGCCTCAGGCGGAAGGGCCCAGAATGTCACCAGCGGTGTGAGGGCCTGGATGGCTCATCAGCAATCTCCCTGGTACTGGGTAGGGTGTGCGGGAATAAGTCAGGGGCTATGCCTGGATTTTCTTTTCTGTGCTACTCTCATGGAGATCCATTCTCCTACTCCTCACTTAAACACCAAGTAGATGTCATAGCTAATGCAGACTGCACTGCACATGACTCCAGAACCCAAAAAGACTGAGCATCAAACCATAGCTGTCAAGGCCGGCACGCAGCTGGCCTGGCAACTTTGTACTTGGAGGGTCAACGCCAAAGGGACCCCGTAAAGGGGACCTTGTGAGGAATGGAAAGGGCAAGGAAACTACTACATGCTTCAGACTTTGGGGTCCGGGGGCTGGTAGTACGTAGGTTGCTGGTGGGAATAACTGGGGTTATGCCGCATGGCTTGTAGGATTGTAGGCTCTTATAGGGTTACAGACTAGTTCTAGGCATACTTACTAACTAATTCAGATCTACGAAGCCCGGCCCCCACCCCTTCCCCAGTCGACCTGCACTCTTCCTGCCTTGAGCCAGCTTGTGAAGGGAGATGGGACAACGTATCCCAGCTGACCAGCCAGCCTAGGATGCTGTCCATGACTCGTGCTTGTGGAACGCCAGAAAAGCTGTTACTACAGATACTCTCATTACTACAATCACTACTATCGAACATCTATCAAGAAGTTCACTGTCTTTCACAAAAGCCCTTTGCTGTTCATGGCTGAGCGGCCTCAAAGCGAGCAAGTTCTGCGCTGCGCCGTACAGCCACAAGGAAGATGAGTTCCCGGTGGCCTGAGCAATGCAGTCTGTAGTCAAAGCAATCTTGTGTCATTCTGAACCTAAAGATACCTAAAGCCAATGCGCAGAAGAACATGCCTGGAAAGCACTTTGCACCAGGAAGCCGCCGGTGTTTTTGGCCTCAACTGCCCGGTAGGTAAATCATTCTGGTGCTTGAGAAAGCTGCGCGCTAACACCTACAGGCGCATGCCATCACCACCCTATCTATTCCGAAAAACATGCGCCACACTTGTAATGTTGCTGCTGCCGCCGATTTTTTTGGTGAGTGTTCCCTTGACAGCTTGACTGTCAAGCACCTCGATGCAAGGCAGCGCCCCTAACCTTTTTGCAAGAAGTTTCATCGCAGGACAGGGTCTGAAGCCATTGCCATGGCTGACTCCAGCAGGACTGTGATCTCATTATCGCAACGCTGCCGAATCCGCACTTTGTCCAGGGCAGTGGATCCAAATCCTGAGGCGCATGCTAGAAAGTTTGGTGATGCTGTCATGCAAGCCATCCCATGAACTCTGAACCAAGGAGCGATTCTGGCACCACGGATCAGCGTCTAACAGCCTTGCAGTCCATGGTCCAAGGTGCAATCGAAGTGCCATGTTTTTAACATCTTGTGACGCATGCCGCCAGGATGCAGTAACAGCTCCACACATTTTGGAGATCGTCCAAGCACTGCTGCGCGCATGAGTGGTGTGTCGCCCCTGTTGTTTGGGGAATTAATGTACTCCGGAGGCACGATCTGCGCCAATGCTTCCAGGACCTCTGCTGAACCGCCGCCAGCTGCAGCATGGATGATGTTCTCCCCATGAAGGTTCCACACGTTTGCAGGAAGTCGGCTGCGGCCAGCGCCGTGTAGCAGAAAGCCCACGGCCTCTGAGCAGCCCTGCCGTGCTGCTGCAGCAAGCACGCAGGATCCATCGGCATCCAGCGAATGCAAATTTGCCCTGCAGGGAAAGCTCTCAACTTGCAACTTGGAAGTCCAATTTCCGGGCTCAGCCTGTCCCTGTCCTGTGTCTCAACAAAGATTTGAGAGCCAGCACATCATTGGCACCAGCAGCTGCATGCAGCAATGGCCTACCAGCGAAAGTGCCGGAAGGTGCTCGCGCACAAGCGGGTATGGTGCCTGATGTCTGATGCCGGTGAGGAAACACACACAAACATCCTGCCTGCACCTACCACGGCGCTTGGAATACCCGAAAAATTCCCACAAATTATGCAAACCTGTCCTAACCATCAAACCCTCTGCTGTCCAGCGGCCCGACTCGAGCTCGGGCGAAACATCGCGCCAAGCTGCCCAAAGTTCTCGAATATATCGGCGTGCTTGTGACATTCGAGGACCCAGCGCTGCATGCGCGCTGCGGCACCATGCTGTGGCCTGCATGGCATTTTGCTTGCAACCCTGCACTTGCAAAAGGCATAGTGAATACCTCTTGGCCAGCCTGTGCCGCGCATGTCCATGGAACCATTGATGCCACACGACCAAGAACTGCGTCAGGAAGTCTCAAACGACATGTGGAGCCTGACGTTTCACAGAACGCTGAATTTGCCCATTCTAGGGTAGAAAGCGAGATTGTAGCTTGAGGACCTCAACCGTTATCTGCCTGCTTGACCCCAGCTAATCTGACCATCGGGCTGAAATAGCTCAACCTCCTCCTCGCCCTCAGCATTGTATGGCCACCTTACGGATTTGCGCGTTTAAGCCGCTGCTTTGAATTCATGTTTCTGGTCAAAGCTGATGCCAGCTCAGGACTGCAGCCGCGTTGCGGCGATGGCAAGTGGTTCTGAGCTGCGGCTGGGGCACGTCGCTGCCAGTCCTCCACCAACATGCAAACTCATCTGCAAGGCTCTACTAGCAAAGCCAGATTTAGGTCCAGGTAACGTTCTACTGCAGTTCTTCTGATCAATAACACTTCAAAAGCTTCTGACAGGGGGAACTCCTACCTCCGGCGCGGCCGTGCCACTTTGCACCTCCTCTCGCTGGCTAAGCAAATGCGCGATTCGTTGAGCGGCGGCAGCACCCTGTTCTGCCAGAAGCGCATGAGAGGTGCCCTCGCTGAATGGTCCTGACCGCGGAGGATGTAAATATGCATGTTTGGGTCTGAGCAGGCCTAAAAACCTTTGAGCTGCCTCAAGCGTGGCAGCAGCAGCAGAAGCAGCAGCAGTTGGTAACACAGTGGGGTCGATCATTGTTTCAATATCCGGATACTTCAGCTGCGGCTAATGTTGTCTATGTCATGGCAGCAAATTCTGTCGCAGAAGCTCTCCTCTGCTGCCCATTTCTGGCGCAGTCTCCAGCATGTCAAAGTCAAACATGCTCACCAGTTGTAGAGCTCACGCTACATGCATGATGCAGTCTGGACAGGTTTTGATGGCTCAGGAGAATCAGGTGCTCTTGGGCTTACGATGTGGGCTGCTGCTGAAAAGCATCTGTGCTCTGGGTGGTGCTCACCGTATTTTGCACTGAGAAGCGAAGACTGATGCATTTGCCGCAAGGTTGTTCTGGGACCAGAGGGTTGCAGTGTGTGCGCTTATGTGAGCATACCGCTCTGAAGCCAGGGCTTCGAGGTGGCAGGCATGAGCAACTGAAGAAAACATGTACGTACGAATTGACCCTTGTTCCATGGCGCAATTACATCCTACTGCATCTTTCTCATAAAGCTCCAGAGCCGAGCCTCAAGGACGACCTTTTGAGGCTACCGACTGTGTAGCCCACCATTTGGGGTGAGGTCCGGTGAGGTTGGTCTTTATGGCTCATGCATCTCAGCAGCGGCAGGCTAGCACTCTGAGCCCCCAACTAGGTTCTTTGCTGGGTCAGAGCCGCATGCCTGCGGACATCTGAACAAGGCAATCCACTCTTCTCCCTGCACTCTCCCTCAGAAACAACTTGCCTGCACATCCTGGGGGCCATGCAAGTAGATTGACAAGCGACTTTGCTCAGGACGGGAATGAGGCAAAGTTCCCATCCAATCCAGCCTTTGCCACAGAGTCGGCCAATGGATAAAAGACGCCGGCCTCAGCTGCCATGCTTGCAAAACACACAAGACGAAGAGCGTGGCAACCAACCATTGACTGGACTGTGAGGGCTTTTGATAACTTCGCAGCAAACAAAGTCGGGCATCAAGGGCTTGGCGGCTCGCGCTGCAGAAGAGGGCATGCCGGCAGCCAATACTGCAGGCTGTGCGGGATCAAACAATTGCTGGAGGCTTTGGGGGCTTTGTGTTATGAAGATGTAGGATTCCGCAAGGCCTCCTTCTGCTGCGTTCAATCCATAGGCCAGCCCCAGCGTTGTGCCGCCAACGAGGCGGACAATACCTCACATGGCTTTGACTAGCCAAGTTCATGATGGTAGATGTGTGTTCGATGCTTGCCTACCACATGCAAACAGTTCAACGCATCAAGACGTCTTCGCTGCGGAGGGCAGACCGGACAAAGGGCACTCAAAGCAATTCGATCACCAAGGCCGGTCTTTGCGAAACCCTCGCGGCATGATTCAAAATGAGCTGTCCATCTCTGCTGGCACTTCAGGTCCTTGGTGAAGAAGAACGCAAGCAGTACCAACCAAAGTACCTGCGCAAACACACTTGGATTCGCCGAGACCGGAAGCTTGGGCGTTTAGATCAAGGTCCGGAGACTAGGAGAGTAAGTTAACCCTCCCCCTACCCGCTCCCAGTGCACGCGATTCCTCCGCCTCAGGCAGTTTCGCCCAGAATCCATGTTTTTTTGGGGACCCCGCATTTCGGCCCCACGCCAGCCTGTGCAGGACCCAGGCGACCACCCGAAACTTGAAAAAAAGGAGCCGACAGGGGAGGGGGGGTGGGAAGGGTGGTCGGGGGGGTTGGGGAGCGATGGGGGGAGGCAAAACCTGCGGTGCAGCTTACGAAAGTTGCTTGGTTTGGGATTGCAGTGAATGTACGACAACCTTTGCCGAGGCGGTCTCGCGTTGGCGGTTAAATTAATCTGGGATACACACAGGAGACATGGCATGCCTACGAATGCTGGTCAAGCCATGTATCGCAGGCTTGGGAATGCTTGTGGAAAGGTATCTGATTTGGTGCGTGAGGGTGTCAGTCAGCACATTAGCAGGATGCCCCTGCCTCGTCAGTGAAAGCTGCGACACCCTCTGCAAAAGCTAACCTGCTGAATAACAGGCAACATTGTGAAATTGCGCTATAGCAGGGCCGCTGCAGCAACGCCTCCGCTTCAACACGTGTGGACGAAGTGCCAACATGCTTTCACTGCTGGGGCCATGGCGTTTTCGTCCTTGGCATGGGTGATGGAGTGTTGATCAGATGGTAGGCATGCCAAGGTCGCTGAGATTTCTGCTGATGTGTCAGTAAAGCTCTGGGTCTGGGCCCATGACATTAGCCCCACAGCCAGTGCGCAGAACGCAACACCTGGAAATGTCAGCCCCTTGCAGAGCCCTCTGCAGCGTGGCTTTGCTTCGTAAAGCCCAAGCCTGGAGAGGGCAAAGGCTGCGTCACGATGCCGGCGACCTAGCAAACAAAGCATAGGATGTAAGGATGGACCCTAGCTCGACTTGAGATCTGCGAACTTATGCGCCATCTGTCTTTTCTCAAAATTGGGGTCCTCCTCTCTATATTGATTGTCGAACGAGGGCCTGTCATTTTGAGAAACTCCCCTATCGCAACATGTCCTGCGCACCGTCGCCACGAACAGGGCAAGGATGGACCAACCTTGCGTAGAAACTCCTGACAGCATCAGAAAAGGCCAGCAAACATGCGCTGAGGTCAGATCTCCCTTGATCGTTGGTCTCCACTGTACAATGAAACGACCCTAAATAGTAGTTTCCATTCTCTTTTCTGATTCTAGTATTCCTACATAATCCCTATATTCCCCCTATATGACCCCTGATTCGTTTTGTGGCCTGTTTAATCATGATTGCGCAATGGGGCTGCCACTGCTTTTCACTGTATTAAATGGCCTTATCCTTTAGCTTGCTGGTAGGGCATGAATGACTGGAAAGGAAAACAGAAACTACCGCCTTTTGTTGGAGGTTGCTCGAAGGATTCATTCGTCCATACCCTGCTAACAAACGGGAAGTTGAGAGATGCTGTTGATACTCAACACCCTGCATGCTCTTAGTCTACTACAATGCCATCATTCCCAAGGTATAAGGTACTTAAAGCCATGCAGGATTTACACCATGCACCGCATCTAGGCGGGCTTCTAACACCGGCCTTCAGGGACTGGGCATAGGAAGCGGATGATCAAACCGATGCTGACCGAGATGGCTGTTGGAACCTGCACCATCTGAGAGTCCGAGGAATTAGACATTAGGGTTTGGGTGCTCGCTTTTGAGGTCCCCGTAAGAACGGCTATAGCGTTTTGCAATCTACATTGGGGTCCCTCTTTTTATGATGGCTGTCATCTGTGTGTGGATGAAGATGCACGGCTTCGAGATCACCAGACCAAAAAACCGGATCCTTGAAAATAAGACTCTCCCCGAACAGGAAATAATGGTTCCGTACATGCCAATCTGTGAGAAATCCCATGGCTAAAGTCTTCTAAACCCAGACTGCCAGACATGATCCCTAAGTGGCCCTAAGTGATTCTTGGGAGCATTGTCCGGATAATTCTTGCACGTACCCGACTCAGTCATTTCTCGCGCATTTGGCTTGCCCCTCACTTTTGAGTCGCCGACCGGCGCAGCTCCTTTCCATCTTCGCCTGCCTGCACGACGGTTCCGTTAAAAGAGGACCAACACAAGGAACGACAGTTCAGAAAGATTGCAGCGACAAGTGATATTGACCGCAGCCATCATACAAAGCTGCAAACAGAGAGGCCGCAATCAGTTCTATCACCACTCCTTTGACGAGACATCTCTTGACCAAGCCCCCCAACTTGAATCACAACCCCCAATCTTGAAACCCCAGACAAGTTCTTTCCTCATTTCTGGATCCCTCATAAGCCGAAGACGAAGAATGTGCCTGGAGGTGCTTCTGCTTGGCTTCCTGACAGTTCAATCTTGTGCAGTTGTGTTAGGGCTTAAATGTACAGTTGTTTCTTGAACAAAGGCTTTAAGGATGGCATGTGGCTTATGATTTGGACTTTAGAGTACTGGGTTCCCGCATTGGGGGACATAGGGGAACTTGAATCTTACAGAAGAAGGCTGTGTGTGTATATTATGTGTATACAACATGTGTAGGGTATGGTCTCCGCAAATGTAAGACATCATCTCAGGATGTGTACGTTACGTGTAAGGAGATAAGAGAGAATACGTCAACATGTTTCTCTATATTTTGATCATGCAGACTTTGCCTGGAACGCTCATGACCGATCTTAATCCCTAAGTCGTGTAAAGCTTTGAAAGCCTGCAGGCATCCTGTCAGATATCGCAGCCCTTCCGGCCTGCTCTTCCCGCACTCCACCGCGGGGCCTTTTTCTGGAAAGTTCTAAGAGAACAGACGGCAGCTGCTAGCTGTTAGGACAGCTGGAACTTACTTAAGCCCAAGGCATGTGCCTCTTTGCTGTAGGTCTTTGCAGCAAAGAGCACACCGGCCTTGAAATCAACGCTTTCTGCTTGCTTTCAAGACAGGCGCAGCCAAAGCGTCTTTCACTCTGTGCAGGTTGCTGCCATGCGGCGGCTGTGGCAAAGCCTCCTTATGCAACTAGATTTCGGGCAATCTGTTTAGCACCACACGTGACGGTCCACCACATCATGAAGCACATGGCTCCTTGAACCGCAGATTGTGTATGCGGAGACCACGCAGAAGGCAACGACTTCACCTGCACAAACGTGCAAGAGGACCGACTTTTGAAATGCTGTGAAAGGACCAATCCGCAAGGATCATCACCGTACTTGCTCACAAAGTAGGCCAGTCTGATCCACGTCTACTATGCAAGGCTGTGCGTTTGCTGCCATTGACGTTATTGCGTTCCTTGGCATTCTGATGTAGTACTGATACTATCTGATACTGTTCCCGGGATTTGGAGATTTCTCAACACAGCAGGTCCAAGGAACAGTACACATACAGGGACTATCTGAAGATTAACTGTAAAGGATCCCCGTGAGGGCTACAAACGGACTATTCTGATAAATTCCCAAATCCACGTCCTAAACCCGTATGGTGGTTTCCTTAAATAATAAGGAGAACCTCTCCATACACCTCAACATACTAGAATCCTAGGGACCCCCGAGACGGTACATCCAAATTTTGGGATGGCCTCCGGGCTCTGCAGCTGAGATGGCAAACGGCCAACTCGCGCTGACACTGGGGCCTCAAGGCAACCACGGCAAGAGTGGACAGGGTACTTGTAGGGTCAGAAGTAGGTATATATACAAACTCTATAAGCCTCATCATGACCTTCGTCATGCCCATATTCACCTGCTTACTGCGTCCCCCTGACCCTCAAGGAGGATTTTGCATCAGGTTCCAATACTGACATGTTAGGGGTTCTAGGCTTCAGGGAGGCCGCATGGCTTCTTGAAGATTTCTCCAAATGAGCCATGTTTATCGTGGTTGAACCTCGCGAGATTATACTCTTCCTCTGAAATATTTCAAAAGCTATTCGGTGAACTGATACGACTATTAGAAATACTTTACTACACGAATGAAGTGCACTAAGAGAGACATAGCGCGCAGAGCTAAACACACGGAAGTCATACACGTGGTGGACGTCGTGGTGGTGGTGG